AGGAAAAACACGTGTATAATGCATCACATATATGTCGCGAGTAAGACTTTCAAAGTAACCGCGAATACGGAGTGTTCGTATAGAAAACTCTTTGACAATTCGTGAAATAAAAGTGCGTAATACACGCGAAATCGTCGATGAATGCCTCCGCTCTCGTTCCGCGCGGAGGCGCGCGCTTTAAGACGCGTGCAGAAGACGGACGGATGGATGGACAGTTTGTATGCAACGTACGTATGGGACGAAGAGTCGCGCACACCTGCACACGCGATCGGCCCACCAATCTCGCACGCACTCTCACGTATATACGGGGCGCAGCACGCGCAGGTGTGCACGCATCGTCGTCGTCGACGACGCGGTAGATATACCTACATTCGTACGCGTGCGTGCATGCGTGGCGCGGCGCGGCGCGGCGCGGCGCGCAACCGCTCGTGCGGAGAGGATCGCGCACCGCGACACGCGGGGACAGGATAATCCCCGTCTGTCTCGTTCCCGGCTAGACAGCCCATAGACGGAGAATGGCTCTCGCGTTGACTTTCGCGCCTTGGATTCCGACCGCGCCGCGCCGGTGAGGTGAGGTAACGAGAGACGTCATTCTCGAGCGATATGAAAAGATCGTAATCGATCGGCTTGGGCTTGAGCGTATACGCGGGGGCACCTGAAAGAGCGCGCCGATGAAGTGGCGAGAAGCGTCACTCTCGGGCGATATGAAAAGATCGTAATCCATCCTCTGAAGCGTGTGATGTTGTCGGAACTCCCGAGATATCGAATACTCCTTTGGACGTGGGTCGTTGGCCAATTCGGATCTTTTCTTCGCGAAAATGTAAAAGCCAAATAATTTCTAACTTCTAATAAGCTACGAACGGGATTGTATAGATAAAAAACTTTTAACTAACATAAATATTGTAGGAATAATAGGGCTTCTCGAAAGGTAATGATAGTATATGTGACAAATTTATTTAAACGATTATACTGCCATTTTATAGCGCGGGAACGACTGTCAAAATTCCTCGACGGCTGTCATTTGAAAAAAAGGAAAAGACAAAGCATAATAGTAAATAAGGACATTGTAAAATCGATCATAGCTAGGTAATACAAATTTTCCTACAATATCAAGAGTTACATGGATAAGAATTGCATCTTTTTCAACTGATTTCAGGTGAGTTCGCTTTAACATAATTTTATTTTGAAATTCATACGCTAGAAATTAAGAAATTGTAATCAATGATAATTTCTTTCGATATTTAAAAAAAAATTGACTCCGAATTGGCCAAAGAGTTTATCGTTTAAAGAACCTCGAATTTTTTCGGTACATTGTATTGGACAATTTGTATAATATAAGATAATCATGTATGTCGTGAAAAATGGATACTAATTTAAAAATATATTATCAATATTATCATATAATATTTCTTAATCACTCCAAGTGTTGTATTCTATCTTTCAAAATAAATTAATCATATGCATAATTAAGTTACTCGTCATTTTCTTTCGGGGGCGCATGCAGCAGTACTCCGGGTGGTTTCCACGCGTGGCGGGAAAAGGAGAAAGAGAAAAAAAATACAGCAAATCAGAGGGGGGGGTCAAACGAAAATGCTTGTTGCATCGCGTTTCGGCGGGCGTCGCGGCACCGTCGGTGCATCCATCGATGCCGCCATTTGGAAAGGAAACGCTCGGCGCGAAGGGGGCAGGGCCAAACGGCCGCGTCGGAAAAATTCTCATTTCGGTCCCGACCAATGGTGGACCGGCGTGTGCCCGGCGATGAAAAACCTACCGAAGGGATAGGGTCGGGGTCGCGTTCGACTATGTCGGGGTTCCAGATATGTCCGCGCTGTTTCTTAACGGAGAGCATCGCCGCGTGCGCGACTCCGCGGGGCGAGGGTTGAATCGAGAATTCGAGAAAGGACTCGCGCGTGAATGCAGAGTCTCGGAGAGACGGGACGCGCGGCTGCATGCGCATCCGATGCACATCACGTCGGGCGGCTCGAGAGAGAGAGATTTTCGGAAGGGGGATTTCTCGTCTACCTGATGTTCAAAAGTTCCCGGAAGAAAAAAAAAGGATCCCCGCGGATTCGCGCTCGCAGGCTCCGCCCAGAGACGACGAGCTCGGGACGAGCGTGACAATAATTCGATGCCGACGATCGAGACGGCAGAGGAGAGATTAGAGCGAGGAGGATTCATTGGCAGACGATCGAAGTTGGAGCGGGATCTGTCCTCTCCGCGCACACAAGACTCCGTTGCAAGTCGCAACGAATATTACATACGCGCGTCTCAATTAATATGATTGTACTAAATAGACCATGTAGAAACCCGCGCGAGTCGTTACAATAGAAACTGGGGAACGAACTCATTCTTCCTCCCCCTATCCCTCCCCCCCCCCCAACGCGTCAGGACCCCACCCCGCGGAATGCAGGAGTACGACGGAACGCGCAGTCAGAGATTAATTCGGGAACTACTGATTAACGCTGACGGTGCGAACTGCAAGTCGCTCGTCACTGTCGAAGTGAACCAGGGTATTTCGAGGCTAACAATAAAGAGGGTTCGGAGGAGGCAAGATGAGATCGCAACAGGCGACTCGGCTAATATAATATTGACAGTGTGATCGTCTGCGATCTACGATCTGGTTGATCCTGCAAAGGGCACAAGACCCTGCCCTTCGAATTTCTTTAGTTTTAAGTGAGATCCTAGTATCCAGTTAAAGACGGCAGTATTTTGCGACTCGTAGCTCGAACGGTTATTTAATCGTTAAGATTCTTCTCTTATCTCCGGGACTGTTAAGATCTCGGACCGTACCACGTTTGTGACACGTTGTTCGGATAATACGGAAAGTGGACGATTAATTTGAATTAGCGTAAGCTGGAGAAATTGCGCCGTGTGTCGAATTAACGAAATCGGTAATTTAAACTGCGGGCTTAATCGGATTTTAGGCGAAATTCGAGTCTCCGGGGCTCCCTCGCGATCTCGAGTCACGGTCGCCCGACAGTTTTACAAATCGCTCCTGGATTTCGATTATACACGCTTTCGTGCGATCGGCGTTGCACCGTGCCGCGCGAGCGCGTCGTCGGTCGATCGGTCGGTCGCCCGACAGGATAGGCTTCGCAGACTGAATTTCCTTTACCTCGACTCGCGTCCACGATCCTCGGGAACGTTCCGTCTCGACGACGTTGGGACACATCGCTCCGTAGGGCAAATCCGCAGGGTAAATCCGCCTCACGGGTAGTCCAGTGGGCAGTTGCAGGGCCAAAGGGAGGAGAGCGTCGTCGACGCATTTATATCCATATATATATACATATATATGTATAATATATATACTCATATATACATATATATATATATTCTATCGGGCACCGTCGGTTCCGTTCGTACCGTCGTCAGGTCGCCGCTCTCCGAGAGAGATCACTGCCCTCACGCACACCCGACGAGGCTTTCTCTCGTTCCTCCGTGCCAGACCGCCGGGGGCCAGTAACGTATCGCGAAACGACCGGACCACTAACCGATTCGCACGCTCGACGACGACGAGGACGAGGATGACAATGACGGCGACGACGAGACAGCACACGTAATCAGTCTGCCGGCCGAAGATGACAGGCCGGCCGTATGGCCGTACGCGCGATTTCCGGTCTACCGCGAGTCTCGCGCTCGGCAACAGAAAGAGGGAGAGAGAAAGAGAGAGAGGAGAGAGATGGGGGAGAGGGAGAAAGAGAGAGAGAGAGAGAACTCGGAGCAATGGACGAGATCGCGGAGCGGGTTAAACGGAGACGTCGGGCGAAAGAACGAGGGAGAAGGACGACGAGAAGAAGGAGGAAGAGAAGGAAAAGGAGGGGAGGAGGAGAAAGAGAGAGAGAGAGAGAGAGAATGAGACAGATAGACAGACAGAGAGAGCGAGAAAGAGAGAGAGAGAGGAGATGAACGCGCGCGGCGCAGCGTCCGGGAAAAGTAGTCGCGCACTGCGACGGCGGCCTCCTCTCGTCCGTCCCCGAGACGGAATTTTTTTTCGCAGACGAACCCGGCGCGTTTCACCGCGTTTGTCACTCCGGGATTTCCGGCGGCGCGTAACATAACACGCGAGTCGCACGAACGGACACGGTGCGGCCGAGACTCTACCGGTGACGATCGCACGGACAGTTCTTCCGCGGGTGGTCGGCCCCTCTGGTGGCCGCCGGCGGGACGACCTCGCGTGGACACGCTCGACGCGAATATCGCGGCGCGCGAGACGCGAAACGAGACGCACGAAACGCACGGCGGCAGCGGCGGCGACGACGACGGCGGCGGCGGTGGCGGCGGCGGCGGCGGCACGTCGACTCCGGCCGACTCCGACCGACTCCGCTTCGCCGGCCGTCCTCCCGTCTCTCCTCCCGTCGCAATCTTCGTCCCCTCGACACAATCGACACGTGTGTATGTATAGGTGTGTGTGTGCCGTCGCGAATTCGCCGGCAGGCCGATTCGCGACCGCTCGCTCGCGTTGCTCCGGTTTTTCTCGATCGGAAGTGAGAGGGCAAGAAAGTTAAAGCGATTAGAACGTAGGAAATGTGAAACGGAAATTGTGTCGGAGAGAATTACACTCGATGTCTCCCCGCGCGTATATACGTACGTGCGTGTGCATGTGCATAGGCTTTCGTTCGCGCGCAGCCTGAAACTGAAATCCGCAAGGGTGTGCAGCGCGGCAGCGCCGTATGGACAATTCGCTTCGCGAACGAGACACCTGCTGCCATCTGTACGATCGCGCGGGAACGCGATGTCGCGAATCAATCGGCGCGGTGGATAAGTTGGCTATGGTAAAAATACACGGGAGGTTTTTCAATTTTCTCTTGACAGTATTTTTGCGCACTCTTCTTGTCTGGACAATAGAAACAAATTTTTTTATTTTAAATCGTAAAGTTCACGATACTTTGTCCTCTTGCTCTTTCTTTGTAATCTATTTTTATTAGAATATAATATATATTATATCTGTGTCAATATCGAATATATTATTTTATTTTTCTCTTTCCATAAATTATAATAAATAACTCTTGACTGTGGTTATATGTATTAAACAAAATATTTTACAAAAGTAAATAGCTGTATGTTGCCACGTGTTCAATGAAGAGTGAGAAAAAGAGACAGAGATGTGTGTCCACTACTTGTCTATTCAAAAGTAACTAGACATCTGAAGCATTGCGTGTGTATGTGTGTATGTACGTGTAATGTGTGATCTTTGGCGACCCCCGTTACCTTCGTTTATTCTCCTCCAGTTAGAAACATTCCCCATTTTAATGCGTGAATAAATACAACATCGTCTTCTATTTCAAACACGATTGCAATAACGTATAAATTAGGTCTCGCAAAACATTACGTAAAAAAATAATTTTCAATATCTTTCAAACATGATTCGCGGAAGTAAATTTTCCACGTCAAAAAGCGCGTGTATATCGATATCAATCACGTTGAATTCGTCAATTACATCGATTTACGGATGCGTAATCTCTTTGTGAAAGACGTTACACGTCATGCGACGCTACGTCGAGAAACGTATTGCGGGAAGAGACACGATTATCGCCAATAAAGGTCACGTTGGACTTGTTCCAGGAGAAGGGCAATCCGCGGCGCGGTCTTCCCCCTCTCAGTTTCTTTCAGTGTTTAGTCGCTTTTCAATACGTACAGAAGACAAAAGTTTTACTAGGCTGAGCTGAGGTATCGAGAGAGGCAAGATGGTTGTTTTTTTTTACTCTCTAGGTATGGCGTAAGGTTACAAGTGTGAACTGTGAGGCTGTTGTTCGTAAAACAGTACGTAGGCTTCACTGGAAACGACCGATCGTGCTGACACGCCGGACACTCGGCTGTCGTTATATTCATGCCATTCTCCCGAGTACGGGTGCTTGCAGTACGCGGTGTAGTGACCGGAGTACGTGGTGCCTGAGTGATTCGCGACCCCGTATAGATTGTACGTGCAGCCCGGCACTCTCGGGGCGGCAAAGGCACTGAGATCCAAACCCGTCAACGGAAAGTCCACCATCACGTTCAGCTTGCCGCGAAAGCGCTCCATCGGAGAGAAACGTTTCAAATCTGGCACGGATGGCATTAAGAAAAATATTTTTTTTCCTATAAAATTCAAGTTACATCTATTATACTTTAATTCTATCTATATAAATCGAGCTAATATTAATAAAGTTAATTGGAACGGTTCTTTAGTAATGTACAACAGCCGTGGCCATAAGTGTAAAGCATCCTCACAAATTAACGCAAACATTTTATATTTAACGAAAATTGAAGTAAAAACTATTTCATTAAAAAAAAATTTACTTTTATAATAACTTAATTTATTAAAATTATTTATTAGCTCTCCTTTTATTACTGCCTTTTTCTAAGAAAATGTAATAAATGGGGAGTACTTTATATTTATGGTCAAGGCTGTAATTCGGCTAGTTCTTTACGATTATTCGCTCTTAATCGATGAAAAAAAAGGATACGAATAACCAAAATTTTCGGGAATTTCTGTATGCTGAAGCTCTTGGTGCACTTTCTTCTCATCTGACATTTTGAACATGTTGGCTTCTCATCGCCGTCCAACACCTCCTCTCGAGTGAAATGCTCCAAGCATTGGCTCAGCTTTACCGTGCCGCTTCTAGCTGGTATCGGCAAACTTAGGTCCCAGAACGGGTCGAGGGTGACCGATACATGGTCGCAAGAGGTGCAGCGTAAAGATGAACGTAACTGCCCGACGAAAACGTCGACTATCGTGCTATCCTCGCTGCGAAGATATCGCTTCCAACTCTCCACCGCTTTCTGCATATCCCTGTACGAAATAATAATGTCAAGATGTGTTGCAAACTACACGCGCGCGTGTGCACATTCCGTAAATAACGTGTCCTTACGTGTAACTGTCAGGTATGTCTCCGTGTATGGGTGGTAGCTTTGTGATGACTCTGTTGACATCCTCGTGCAGACCCTCCAGTAAGTATCTGAGAAACTCTTGAGCGTCCTGTTGACTGTAGCCCATGAAACGCGGGGCGAATCTCTGTATCTGAGACTTGAGCGCGGTCGTGTTCACCACGTGATCACCGCCCACCTCCCACAATTCGTGAATCACTTGACTGAACGCTTTGATTAGAGCGCCCTTCATGCTGGATGTCGTAGTATTTATGTCGGCCAAATGTTGCTCGTTCAGCAGATACTCTAACAGAGGCCTCGTGTTGCTCAAGCACTGGATCACGCTGTTCATGAAACACTACAAAACGGTCGTGCGTACGTTAAACGTTGGGGGGGCTGTAAAAGCGACGATATGAAAATTTAACAATGTTTCATGTTAAAAGATGTACTCACGGTGTTTCCAATATTCCGTAAGCCGTTTAGACCACATCGTTCGTCGCGAAGAGCCTGCAGACGACTACGCGACGATCTGTTAGTCGGACTTCCTTCCTGTGAAAAGTTATCGAACAAATTACATTAAATTTTCCACGCAATTAAATATCAATTAAATGCTGTCGAATAAGGTCCGTACATCGTATTGCAAATACTGTCGTCTTGAATCGTCCGTTAAAGTGTCGTCCGAGCATTCATTCATTCATTCCGATCGGCGAAAGTATCGCATGTCGCTCGATAAGAGGAGGCTTAAGCGCGTCTCGCGATAACAAAACAAACGTTGCGTTACACAAATGCAAACTGATAACGCGTTAGATTTAGTAACACTTTGTACTTGTTAGGCACACGTGTAGATGATAATACGGACGACCTCCGTCGCAGGTGGTGTTTATTAAAATGCACACATTCAAATGAGAGAGCAATGAACAAGTGGCAAATGTTGTAGTGCTTAATTTAAGCAATTGAACTTGACGAAGACAAAACCGATTGCGAACGGACAATCGGCATCTGCGGGGAAGCGCACGCAATCGCACGAGAATATACTCACCTGATGTGAATGCACAAACGGAGATCGGATGGCGCGCGGCACGGCGGGCGTGATTATCGTCGAATTGTTAACGCGTATCGAGCCGATGATTCTCGAAGAGACACGTTTGGGAGACACCAAAGGTGTCGCGATACCGAGGAAGAAGGCGTAAGCGAGCACGAGGGCCGTCACCGTCCACAGGCACCACAAAATCCATCCTATCGCTTGAGCGTGAGCCAGTTTACACGCGATGTGGCTTCTATCACGGAGGAATTCGCGAGCGATACGGCGCCAGATTAATCGATTATGTGTGCGTTATGCACACTCTGCCGCCCGCACGCGACACCGTCCGAGCGAGAGAGCGACGTCATTTATCTATATGTCACGCTTGTCAACGTACGTGTTAATTATAAGCGCCTGCTTTAACGGGCCGTGATATCTCGCGATATCATTTTCGGGTCGAACGTCGAAAGTACAGGATTCTCAGAAACGTGCCTGTTATCATTGGGATATGACGCGACAGCTCTCCAACGACGTGCAGAGACGAACTCGAGCGACTCGCTAACGCCATCCTGTCGAAGAGCACAGTTGCGAGTTTACAGGAAGCGCGAAAACGCGGCTGTTCGTCCGAATCGATGCATTCCTGACGGAGGACCTTCGCGCGAGGAAGCGTGCAACGCTCGGTTGGCTATCATAAATTACCACGGCACACTGTGTGAGATACGAAACCGCTACGACAACGTGTCTCTATCTCCCGGAGAGTTCGAGAAGGAGAGACAGAAAGAGCTCTGGGCTATTAATAAAATGGAAGCGATAGTGACTCCGAAGAGACTCTAGTTGGAGACGGCGAGAGGGCAAGGAGATTTCGCAACGAGACCGGGTGGGAAGTAAACGCGTACGAATCGCGTGGCACAATTTCTCTCGCCTAACGTAACGTCGAAACGTGGCACGACTCTGTGTGTCAATAAATAAATAAATGAACAAATCTTTGTCACAGAATCTCTCTCCTTTCGTTCTTTAGAATATTCCTCTCATAATAATCGTCATAACGTAAGCACTTTACATAGCGAATCGATCTTCCAAAATATCGCGTCTTTCAGGATCAATTATCCTCTCATTATACTTAAAAAAAAAAAAAAAAAAAAAAAAATATTAATTTTTTACTTGTGCCACTTTTCAACAACAAATCTTCTTTTTGCGAGAATCTTTTTTTATACGACATTGTAACTACGAATATACAAGCTCTCACACGTATAGAATATGTATATGTACGATATACATATTTCGCGTAGAAGAACGTACGCTGTTAAGTCTATCTATGTTCGACAGAAATACTTCTCAGTGATTCGATTGTATTTCGGTCCACGCAAACATACATTATATACTCACGTCTTTGGTACTACCGTTGTAAGGTTCGTGCTTGTCGATTTGAAAAACAGGTCACGGTGCAGCATTGACCGAGCAATTACAAAGATGACCGACGCGGGAAAGAAAAAACGTTGGAAACACACGAATTATGAGGACGTTTGTTCTCGTTTTAACGATCGATTAATAAAATACCGTGAATTGAATTGAGTAGTCTATGCTGCCCCGTGCCGGAGAGCGCGTATTACTTCCTTGATAAGCGCACTCACGTATTGCTCGTTGACTCCGCGATAGATATTCTGATGCGCCGTGGATGGATTCGTCGGTGATGATGTCAGATTGCTGCCCGTGGCACTCGAGAAAAGACCAGACTGATCCGTTCGCCTCGACGTCGAAGGGATGGACGGGTCGTCGCCGTGCGTGACGGACGGTCTACCGGCTACGTTGTCGATCGTACCGCCGAAGCCGCTCTCGTTCGTGCCATTGGATACGTTATTCTCCTCCAGCTCGCCATCCTCGGGTATATCCCGGTCGCTGACGCGATCGCGTTGCACAAATGTGACGATGGACGTGACATCGTCGGCGCCGCGCGTTACCTCGTTGCTCGTCGTAATCTCGGCCTCCTCCTGCCCACTTGTCACCTTGTCCTGAGCGTTGTTATTAATCAGCAGCTCGGTGTTATGAGGATTAGTAGCGAGGTTAGTTAACAGGTCAAGGCTACTGACACCGATCAAACCACTACCACCACCAGCGGCGGCGGCGGCGGCTGGCGAGAGAACGTTACGCTTAACAGGCGAGACCTCGTCAGGTCGGTGGCGACGCTGCTGGTGGAAGCGGCGGTGGCAATTGTTGAGATTATCGTCGTCGTCGTTCGCGTCGTCGCCGTCCTCGTTTTCGTCGCCGTCCCCGTCCGCGTCGTTGTCGTCGTTGTCGCGCTCGTCGTCGTTGTTGTTAACGCCGTATCCGCACGCGATATCCTCGCCGCTGCCCTCGCGCCCCGTGTTGCCGACGTTGCTGTTGTTGTTATGCTGGTCGTCGTCGTCGTCCTTGGTACCGTCGTTTTCGTCGTCGTCGTCGTTCGGTTTACGGGTAACGTGATCGTCGACGGTGGTCGTTACCTCGACGAGAGAAACGGCGCTGCTGTCCGTGCGTGCATGTCCGCCGACGGTGGTGAGCACCGTGCTGTTCGTAGGCGGTCTCCTCTTGCCGGACTTGGACCATAGACCGGCCGCCGCCCCGGCAGCCACGGACGAGGAGGAGGACGACGAGGAGAGCGAGGACTCCAGGCGGAGATCCCGGCGCTCGACCTCGCGTTCGTCACCGCCAAACAATTCGTTCAGGGACGACGACGTCGAACGGTGCCGCCAGTGATGCGCGCTGCCACTACCGCTCGCCTGTTGTTGTTGACGTTGAATACTGGGCACGTAACTGGCCGGCGAGTACCTGCTGATGATGTCGGCGGTCGCGTCGACAGTGCTGCTGCTGCGCTCCCTCGACGAGGACGTGGACGAGGTGACCGAGGTGCTCGACGTGGACGAGACGTATCTGCCACCGCTGCCGCTAACGGTGCCGTTAACGATCGTTGTCGCTAATGCGGCGCCGCTGCTGCCGCCCGTATCGCCGTACGACGACGACGAGACTGACCTGCAAAATTCGCCCGACATTAGTATATTGCGGTCATCGCGTTTCGCCGGACCGGGCCTGTGGCCAAGGTCCCCTGCTCTCCTACCGCGAGATCGCGTTATGCAACGCGCGCGCGAAGTATAGACGCGCCCCGTGCCTCTGGCGGTGGGACTCGCGCGCGTGCACAGCGCTGCTTGCGAGATGCCCGCGTGCGATTTCCGCCGCCAGCGGCCGGGCGAAACTATGCTACTTCTAACTTCGAGGTTTGGAGGTCACGAAATCAGACCCGCGACACCGTTCGCGGAGGCGCCGACAGCCTCGGAACGCCGACGCGCGCGCGCGCGCGCTCGTGCTAGATATTTAAATATATATTTTCTCGGGGCCGCGGAACCGAAGATCCAGGAGTGGAGTGCGTCGTCGGGGATCTGAAGAGGAGAAAACCCGGTGGTGCTGCAGGGTGTCCGAAATACGCGAACGCGCGCGCACACGCAGGCCGGATAATCTCGCGAGGTCAAGGTCCACGACTACATTCCATAGCGCGAGCGTGCTTATTTAAAATCGATAAATGCGGCTACGTGCTCTCTCTCTCTCTCTCTCTCTCTCTCTCGACGAAGTCATACAGCACAAGCCGCGCGAATTTCAATGGTGCCTTTATACCTCGCCGCTTCGACCAAGAATCAGAGCGCAAGACGCTTTGATTAACGACACCGAGATAGGGAAGCGTTCCATCAAACCCGGAATAACAGGTAACAGACCAGCTTACGTTGACCTCGACCTTTAACGTCGAACTAATGCCAGTTACCCAGGTCACATACGAATGAGGGATGTATATATCGCGTCTGCCTTCGTAATTGAATTATAGTGACGTGAACACACAGAGGTAAGGTAAGGTGAGTGACGCGCGAGACTTTCGGACGTAGGTATGAACAGGTGCGACGTCACCAGAAGATAGCAGAAGACATTAAAACTGTGTATTAAAGGAATAAAAAAAAAATGATTTACTTCATGGAATTACTTGTAAAAAGTTTATCTCTAAAATACGAGCGGTTTGATATTGATCAACATTGGGCGTTTTCCAGCAGAGACACGAAGATGACACACGACGTGACGCAGTGAATCATTTCATTCTTGTTTGCCAGTGTTAAAAACAGATAAAATGATTCACACTATTTTATGCTGTCCCATCTGCGTTTCTCGCTGGAAAATGGATTATATGTCTATCGTGGGCATCTCTCGATTCTCGACGTGCGGTATCGTGGGACGATTCGTTTCGCCATCTCTATCTCCCTAAGGTCTACATCCTATTTCGAGGATCGCTCACCTTGCGGGTGAGCAGGTGGCTCGACTGTACTCCGATGAGTAGTTCCTGCGGACGCTCGTGCCGGTAGACGCCGACGTGTAGAAGCTGCGGGGCCGATCGAACATATAAACACCTTGGCAAGTTCTAATTCAACGTTACGGTAGCGCGTTCGACTCTGTATATTTGTCTTGTCAGCGATACTACGCGAAAACTTGTGCGCGCGTTTCACCTTCCCGCATTTTATAATTTCGACTGTTTCAAACGTTGCTTAGTCCAACCGCAAGATCCGTCAGCCGAGGAGAGAGAGGATTGCGCGACGTTCCTCTTGCGTATATTTAATTGAAGACTTTTAATAGCCAGACGTCATGTAGATCGAGGTAGGAAGGAGAAACATCGTTTAGCGTGATTACAAGGTACGCTCCTCGACTCGGCGGAAAACCTGCCGTTCAACCGTGTCCACTTTCTCCACGTTGTTAACTCGCGCGAATAAATATTACATCGGCACTAAATCGGGATGTTCTCTTCCCGATCGGCATAAAGAGAATACGAGAGAATGATCAATTTTACATAGAATACACGAGAGGTCCAATTTTACATGGAAGTAAAACAAGTATTTTACGCCACATTTTAAACGAGATTAAAAGCTTGAATATTCAATTTCACGTATTTGAGTTATAAAAGTTGCGTGTTATATATTGCTTTGCAAAACATTTATAGTAATAATATTCTGTACTGCAAATATGCATACAACATTGTGGAGATTGAAACTAACAAAAAAAAAATGTGACTGATAGAAAATAGTACATATATGCTTAATGTCCAATGTAGATGTAACTTTAATTTCGGTCTAATTTACTCTTTACTTTTCTCTCGTTCTCAGAGGAAGACAAAAGACGTAAGTTAAACGAAGATTAAAGTTAGTCTACATTAGGTACATAAGAGCGGGAAATTGACACGCTGACGCGACATATTTTCGAAGGTTCACCGACAATCTTTCCTTCTCCCCTTTCTCCCCTCGTAACGATTGTCAATTCTTCAGGGAATACTAACGAGATACCAACCTTCCTGGCGCGCAATAGGACCGCCTGTACTCCGAGGGGATGTAATTGGAGCGCAGACCCGAGCTCGAGGACGGCGTGTAGAAGCTGGTGGGCCGGTCCAGGATCGAGGACGAGCCGGTGGAGCGGTAGCTGCTGAACTTGGACGTCGTGCCGCCGAGGGCGGAGGTGGTGGTGCCACCGCCGCTGGTGCCGCTCGAATATCTTCGGCTGGGCGAGTGCGGTGCCATCGGGCTGGTGCTGTACGAGACCGCTACGGCGCCCGCCTGCCCGCCGCGATGATACGACATTGTGCGCTGCGGCTCGCCGATCTCCTCGAGCTTCTCCGTCGAGTGCCTGAAATTCATTTTACTGCACTATTCTCACGCGAACTCTAAAAAAAAAATAAATATAAAAGTAAAGATGAAGAATATTATTATACGAATGGCGTATAAAAAGACAGGTGAGAGAGCTTTGTTAACGAGAGGAGAACTCGCGAGAATCTCCCCGTATCTGATCTGAATCCGATAACGCGCGCGCTCGTTATCGCGGGTCATAAGACTCATTATCAATCGGTTACACCACACGTAATACGTGCGTTAACGTAACAATTTCAACGAGTGTAGTCATTATCGATAATTGCGCCCCGCGCGATGATATAACGTCGACCTTCGTGTCGCGATTAAAAATCGCGCGAGTCCGCGAAACGTGTGATGGAGCGAGTGAGATGAGAGTATTCATTCTCGGCGTTCTAACGCGGCGGGCTTAATTCGGGCTTTACCTTCGACCTCGTCTCTCGCTGTCGAGTGTATCGCGCGTCACCTTGCCCTCCTTTTCTAAGGAGGAACTTCTCCGGAGAGAGATTACTATATCCGGCAAAGAGATACGACGTTTCATTCGAGAGCTAATAGCGTCAAATCGTCGAACGCTTGAGGTAGAATGTGAGAGAGAGAGGACGTAAATTATTTCTTTTGTAAAAGATTTATCTTCATTTTACGCGGTTTTTACCTATCGTCATGTATGTCGTGAGTAATCGTCGCGGCGTCGTATAACGGAGACGAGGAAACGCACGCTGGCGAACGGAAGAGAGCGGAAGAGACGCGGTCCGCGATCCTGCCAAACGACGGGCGTCGATAGGACGTGGATCTGACGCCCGCGGGGCGATTTTTCTCCCCGCGATCTGGCAGCCGTCCCGCTTTTCCGCCCGAGTCCGACGCGCAGTTAGAACGCCGGAATATCCAATATAAACCGCGTCGTTTCGGATTTCGTTACACGAAGCGCCAACGCGCGGGAGCGTTGAGTCGCACGCGACACGTGCACGATCCCGCGGGAGAATACGCAGGGTGGTTCCCAATTACGGGGTCAAGGGCGAATCCGCAGTCGAAGAGAGGAAAACGAGAGATATAAATATATATATACAGAAAAAAAATTAGTATCAAGATATTCTCATATACACGGAGAGAATTGTTTTTTAATTTATCCTGCAAATCATGTTAATTGTGGGACAATATAGCATTTAGGCAAATTTTACTGTTCACTACAATAAGATTTTACAGTAAAATTTATTGTAGTGCACAGTAACATTTGCCTAAATGCTATATTGTCCCACAATTAACATGATTTGCAGGGTAAATTAAAAAAAAATTCTCTCCGTGTATACATATATATAAGCAAGAATAATATCTTAATTCTTATGAACGATTTTAATCTTGATTTGATTGAATTTATATTGTTGCAAGTACTTCACGTAAAATAACGACACGCGATTTAAAATTTACGCGATACAAAATCACGCATGATTAAAAGTTAATATATTCGCGAAAAAAAAAATACGATATATCACGTTCACTGTGATTCCTAATAAAGTAGACCGCAAATCGCGATGTATACAATTATGTAAATCACACATCTCTATAGACACAGCTGTCCGTTTATGTCTGTGTACAGCAGGCGATAAACAGTCGACCCTCGGAAGATTAATGTCCTTAGGACGGACTAACAACAATTACAGAGGAATCGCGTTAACGTGTGTCCGGCAGCCTGACCCGTATAATTCGAACAGGCGTTACCTTTCGTCTCCCGTGTAATTATGCCATCCGAGGATTAAGTCGTATTAATGAAGGATGAGCGCGGGAGGAGCGGTGACGACGCGCGTTCGCGCGAGCGGATTCCGTGACTCGGATGGATTACGATTCAATTAAACTTACGTAAGACGCGCGACGCACAGGTCGTGACATAACTCGGCGCGGTATGTGTGGGTCGGCGCGTTATTAATTAATTTCGACGGCAATACCACCTCAGCCGGGTACAAAAAGAGTCGGTCACGTTCCGCGTTTAACCGGCGTTTAAACGGTGAGAAAAGGTGACCGCGATCGCGTCCGTCCGGACGCCAGGCGCCTTTGTATTTAGACCCTATTTAGAATTCTTTCGATACGTGCATACCTCAAGGATTAGGTTTACGCAGGTTGCGTCGGGAAAACAGTAATTATCGTGTGACGTACAAACAAACCCACACACACAAATACACACGCATACACGCATACGCGCGGGATATCGTCCAAGGTTCGGTATCTTGTAAAAAGGGAGAAAGATAATGTGCTCGCTCTCGCGATAACGCCGAAGACCGTTCGATTCGCGTTTTATAGGACGATAGATTCGCGTGCGAGTGCATGTGTGCGCGTACCGGCGACCTTAAGGTTTCATCGAGAAAGTGTATACGGCTATATATCTATACGTGTAAAAGCGGCTAATCGATATCCTATCCGCCGAGGGCATAAACGAAATGGAAAAACATTCGCTTGCGTATCCATCCCTGTCGGGTACAGCCGAACGGGGAATGCTCCACTTCTTCCTTCCCCTTTTCTCGTGGCGCAGATATAAGAACGGGGAAAGAGCGTGCGGTGCAGGATCGATATGCATCGGCCGTCTTACGTCCATTTCTAATATAGATTAACTTTGCTCTCGGTTTAGCTCACTTTACCTTTTTCTAGCAATTCTAATATCAATGTAAACTTTAATCTAGATTTAGCTTGATCTTTTTAATTTTTAAAATTAGAAAGAACGCATAAAGAGTAAGTTAATAAGTGAATAATTCAAAAAATTAATAATAGATTAAAGTTGACAGTAAAATTAATATAAATAACAAGCTCACTGCGGCGGAAGTGGACACTGAAAAGCCGACGAAGTCGATGAATGCACGCACAAGTGGGGCGTCCGTCTGTGCCCCCCTAAAATGATTGAGCCCCAGTACAATGCCGTATTGAAGTTTAAGTACCGCGGTCCAGCGCTATGCGCCGGTCCGCGATACGTAAATAACTTTACGGCAACGCGTTTCTCCCGCGCGTGTACATCTCTCTCCGCTTTCTTTTTATATCTCTTCCCGCGATCTCGGGAAAGGGTGTATTAATAGTGCGCAGAAACTATGAAAATTTTTGGCCATCGCCGTCGCTGTCGTCGTCGTTGTCTCGAAACCGTCTCGATGAAGGCCCTCGTGTACGTACGTCGCTGCGTAACGAGAATCGAAAAACCGCGTGGTCATCCGGCCTTCGGCCTCGCGAAGCCCGAACGGTGCGGATCGTCGCGGAAATTGAGCGCTGCGATGGGAAGGCAACCGGCGACTCGACGCTTCGCGATCGCGAATCCTCGTTAGTTCACGTTATTTTTCCAATCTTCTTCTTTTTCCGGGGGGGTTCCTAGCTAACATAAAAGAAAGGTTCTGGCATCAAATTTCTAGGGCATTCATTATAGTTTCTATTTCAAGACCGTCTTAAGTAATGTCTTAAGTCTTAAGATATTAATACTCTGATTGATCTATGACACTTCTTTTTAAACACTAGAAACAATGCCATTTTGAGGCCGTTGTTTATTTTTTCTTTTTTATATTATACTATATTTTTTGTATTGTATTTCTCTTGTATTACAGAAAATATATAAATATAATACAAATAATTTTTCATGATATAAGTAACATTAAAACAACACTTCACTAAAACCGAAAACAAGGATAGAAAATCGCCAAAGTGGAAACCTTCGACAGTTCTAGTTTTAAGACAGTATACTTATGATGGTCTTAAATGTAAGAACTATATATAAGAAATCTATAAATATACCGGCCTTGGAAAGAATGTGAAAATCGATTATCATTTTTCGCGGAAGCTTTCCGAAATCGAAACGGCTACGCGTTAATGTATACAACATCCACATGGGTCAACAATTGTGCGCACGACGTGCAGCGTTGACGCGATCACCCCGAATCTTCCTTCCGGAATCTCCTCCACCTCCTCTCTTACGCAGCTAATTGTGATAAACAATTGTGTAAAGCCTAATCTCGGTTCTCTTGTCACTCTCTCTTTATCTTTCCGAGAACCTGACGTGCGGGTCGCCCATCTCGACATCGCGCACATCCGCCCCTTTTCCTCTTTTTTTTTAGTAATTCGTTTCGGACGCATTCGCGAATTAGGAGGGCGGGGGAGAGGAAAGCCCTCGCGCGCGCGTATCGATATCCACGAATATTTTTATCGAACGCGGCGACGACGGCGGTCCGGTCCGGTAATCTAACCCCTCTTCGGGTTCGGAGAACGGCGTCGTCGACGTTACTCTCTCCGGTCGCCGCGAAAAAAAGAGGGAAGAGAAGGAAAATGCGAAGATATCACGCGACTCACAGACACACGTGTATCGCGTGAATATCGTCCTAGCCGACAGATCTCCGTTCCCTCCGCGAGCGTCTGACGTACCGCCCATCCATGCGGCAAGTCAACCAGGGAAAAGAACGAGGGAGAAGACGGACGTTAAAGGGTTCGACGAAGGGAGCGGATGTGATACTCACGACGAGAAACGACGAAGACGAGCTTCTTCTCGCGCAGCCTGCGGCGGAAATCACACACGTACGGGAAGGGAAGATTCGCGAGAGAGGCAGGCAGGCCGGCCCGTCGTCCGATGCTCACCGCGGCTCACCACTCGTGACCGTGACACCTAGCAACCGCTCGCGTTATTTCACTCATGTCTTCCCCCCTCGGACCGCGGACGTACGATTGCCCCCGATGAGAAGGGGGGGGGGGAGGAGGAGGAGGAGGGAAGGAGGGAGGAAACGAGAAAGAAGGCGAAAAAAATATGAAAAAGAAAAGAAACCTGCGACCGCGCGGCTGGTCGCGAGTTGACTCCGCGGGACGCGCGGATCAGAGCGACGAGAGAGAGAGACCGGCCCTCTTCTCCCGAGCTGGAGGGGTGGTGGGCGGAGGTGAAGGGGGAGAGGCCATCCCGACGGTGGTGCCGACGCGGTGACGTCACCCCCGGGAACGTACGCGGTCCGCTCCGAATTCCACAACGGGGTCGGTAAGGCGCGCGCGGGAGCGGTGAGACGCGGCGATCGATTCTCTCCACGTAAACGCGTGCCTTCCGTCTCGCCGTTTCGTCGCTCGCACGCGAGCGAGCGAGCGAGCGTACGGACGCGCGTGGGGCGAACGTATATGGGAACGCGATGATGATCGTGATGCGAGCCCCGAGTCACGCTCTCGGCACACGGTGAACGATTACACACACACATCAGAGGGAGGGGAGGGAGGGCTCCGGCGTTATTTACCTTTTGTCGACACCTCCTGACACGATCCACGCTCCGACGCTCGTCGTACCGCGAATCTATCGGCACTGATACGCCAATAATGCGCGCGCGGACAAAATGGCGTTACGTGGCTGCCGATTTCCGCGTTGACTGTCATCGGCATCCTTCGCGTGTCCGACAGCGGCGGCGACGACGGCGGCGGCGACGGCGGCGGCAGCGGCGACGGCGGGCAGCGGCGCGGCAGCGACACGACAGTGGTGGCGGTAGCGCCGCGGTAATCCGCGCTTTGCGCTAGCGCAGAACGAAATGCGCCCGACGCATATCTGACGTAGTGCCGGAAGTCGCGACGCGCCAGTCGGATCCGGAAATGACACTCGAATGTAATTATAGTACTGAGATGGCCCGCGAAAATCTCGGTCTTTCGAAATACAAAGGATGACCAAAAAAAAGGGATGATAGAAGATATTTAATTAGTGCTCCCTTGTATCATTTTATCCTTTTTATTCATCGAATATTGAACAAGGATAAAATGATACGCAGAGACACTCGGAATGCTAAGTATGCTTTTTCGAAAAGATTCCGCTTGTAAGTGGGGTTCGAGTCTCCGTTAAGTGGGGTTTGAATCTTCGCTAAGTGGGGTTTGAATCTCCGCTAAGTGAGGTTTGAATCTCCGCTAAGTGGGGTTCAAATCCCTGCTAAATGGGATTCGAAATCAGCTATAAGTGTGCAGGACATTGTAGGAGAATAATCAATAATCTGATCTTTGCTATAATTATATTATATATATAATATATATTTATATCATATATACATATCATATATGTTATGTATATATGTATACATACATATGTAATATGTCCTGCAGTCATGTTTTATCTGCAGTCGTTTCCTTTGAGAGAACTGCATATTATCGACACCTACATCGCGCGACCGCCGTCGCTGTCGTCGTTGTCTGACTTGTCATGGGTGCGAGATAGGAGCGAACGTCAACGAAAACAAAACTGGGAAAGATGTGCTGTCGTAACGCGACGTTTATCGTGCTTTCGTTATTTCTAATACTGTTCTGCGACACAACGTCATCGGAATGCAACGAGCTCGTGCCCTGCATCTGCTCGTTACCGGACGGCTACTATTACAATTTGACCGCCCTCGCTAACGCAGAGTTGGTAGATTACGAAATTATTAACCTCCTCCGTCCGTCCTCCGGACTTCCCTTTGTTTTTGCGTCGTATGACATGTCCGTGCCTAGAAAGAGAGAAAAGAGTATTAGTACGAATTCATCTTTTTGTTGTGAGAAAAGCTTTTGTGGAATTTCATTAAATAACCACTGAGCGGAACGTTTTAATTCTATAAGTCTTGTACCCAATATCGTAGAATTTTAGTATTCATTTATACATTTCTCCCTTATTCTTCCAAATATAGCATTCTGCATCTTTGCTAGTTAGATATCAGGTCTATCTAAATCTATATTTATTGTACATCTAAATGTTTTCAATATTTATTTGAAATATATCTAATATTTATAGAATGGTACATATTGCAGAGGATACTAATTGTATAATTAATTTTCTAGGCCACTTGAGGCCATTGTTGACGATAAAGTTAATTGGACGATACGCTTTCATCCGTGCACAAATGTAAAAATGAAGCTAGACAACAACGACACAACATGCGCCAATGGAAATGGAGTATCAGTAAGATTTTTTTTTAAGACAGTTTTGATCAATTAAAAAAATACATTCCATTATTCGCATTGCGTGTCGATGCGGAGTATCATAGTTAATTATTTATATTCTTGTAGCTATGCATGCACAATAAAAATCAGACACTAACTGGGACGGTGGAGGAAACGAAAATGAAATTGTCGACTGCAGGCAATTTTCCAATTTTTGAAATAGTCCATAAAGATGTTAAGTCGACGATAAATATTGTATGCTCTCTCGTTAAGGAGGTCAAAACGATATTCAAACTAGATTCTCCGATTTCTTCTGAATCTAAACAATTAGTAAGTTTGAAGATAGTTATAATACTGCCCATTATTATGACAATAGTGCATGTATATAAATTTAATATGTTACTAATAATATTTACAGACTTTTATGCTGGTTTCGCCATATGGGTGTAAGATGGAACCGGAAAGGGGGCTGTCCACAGGCTCCGTCTTGGTTATCCTGTTCTTCGTCAGCGTTGGCGTATATTTTATTGGCGGCATTATAGTGCTGAAGACGTTGAGGGGAGCCACGGGGTGGGAGATGGTGCCTAATCACGATTTCTGGTGCAAGCTCCCTTCGCTAGTCAAAGTAAGTTGCCGCGAATGTATCTTCCGCTAAGATGGCAACAGCCGCTACTCCACCTGATCGAGAGTATTATTCTTCCGTCTTTTTCCAGGACGGCGTCGTCTTCACCTTCAATTGTTGTCGAGCGGACAGTTACGAGAGAATATAATACCAACGTTTGTGTTAAATCGATTTGATTTGATATTTATTAAGTGCGCGCGCGAACTTTGTTGCAATTTAGTGTATTGTAAAATAGTCCATTTGTATTCCAAATATTTTTTTATCCTTACGCTCGTTTATATTACTTCAAGTCTTTGTACGTTTAGCTAGCAGAGTTTATAATAGTTATTAGGAATATCCTTGTTTGTCGTCTACATTAACTTGGCGAATTGTTTTGCAATCAGTTTATTTATGCTGTACCTTTAACGTCGATATTTCCGTTGCTTTTGTTATTCCTTTATCATGTTGCAAAAGCACAGTGTATATACATGTGAAAAATGTGATATTTCATTACGCTGTGTCACGTGCCAATGTTATTTATTTTCTTTTATAAGACAGACATTTCAACTTAATTTGATGCAAAATCGATTTATACGTGTATAAAATAATTAACTGTTGCAAGCCGTATAATTAACATCTGAAAACCGAGAAAACATTACACAAAAAATGGTCTTATTGGTCTCTGAAAACATTGGATATGCTTGTTTACAGGTACAATCTATATTGAATAATAATAGTAAAAACGATTGTGAATCATATAAGATTATATAAACGATGTATGTCTGTAGGATAACATTTTGACACTGCAAGGGCCTAGACGCTAAAATCGGCCATTCTCGCGAATGTACTATTTTCCTCCATGAACGTTTTTCTCCATAAATATATTTTTTATATAGACTTTTTAACATTAGTGAAGTCACACGTGATCAGCTTTTTCTACAATTTAAAGTAGAATTCTTATCTCTCTTTTGTACAAGCAAACTATTCGTTCACAAGCGCTTAGACCCTTGTATAGTCAGTGACGACACGTCAGGAACCGGTGATTTGATAATGTGATGTTTTATTAACAAAGTCTCTAATAATACAAAAATATAAATACACAAATAGATACAGTTTTTATATATATCTCTTTTTACATTTCTATGTGTGTACGTGTGTAAAAAGCGCAACTTTTCTGCTAACAATTAATATGTCGCTATACATAACAAGAATATTTTACCTATACTTTTTATAGTTTCCATCCTAAGAAAAAGAAATATCATAGTGTGTATTAGTATCAATATTGATTTTTACTTCGCTTTTCTTAATCATCTACTTCGACAATCGGATAATAAATAATGATATTACAAATGAGTTTTATCTAATTAAAAAGATGCATATTTCTAGAGTAGCATAAGAGCTTCCCGCGTATTTGTAGCAATTAGACAATACTGGATTCTTCAAAATTCGGACTTCCCGCATTCCCGTCTCTTCTCAAGGATCACTTCATTGTCGATGTGTCTCTCTTGGAAGCACGTGGATGCGCTCAAAAGCTTTCGATCTCGTCCACCGGGATCGAGACCTCCTGATCGGTCTGAATGATGACCCAGCTGCCATTGGCATTCAAATTGTGGATATTGATGCTCTTCGACGAGAAAACGTTTACGATGCTGGCGAGATCCTGCACTCGGTTCGCCCGATATAAGCAAATGTAGTCCCTGAGCACGATGCCATTGATAAAGACGGCGTCGTCTAAAGCGAGCAACAGCGACTGATTGTCACGCACGGTTCCTGCAATCACGCAATGACTTCAATTAATGCAATGTAATGTTCAATTGAAGATGTATTAGAACATATGTATTTTATTCTACACTCGTGACTTCTCATAGCTAGATCTTATAGATAGATTGAATCTGCAGAAATTTGGAAAAATTCCATCTTTACTGGAATTCCAGATAGCCCTCCAAAAATTTTAATGATTTTAATGATTATTTTTAACACATTTGAAATGACAGTAGCAAAAATAAAAGAATTTCTAGCGATGTTTCAGTTCCCGGAAATATTTCCAGTGTAAAGAAAATATTTCCAGTTCCTACGATTTAAAATTGTTTTTTGAGAACTGTGATAGAGCTTTATGGATTACTTTGAAAACAGGATGTTAACTTCAAGAGATCTTGAATTAAAATCCAATTTCCTCACGGTATTAAATTATGATATTACCTTTGATGACATGTTCTCCAACTTTCACGATGACCGCCTTGTTGTCATCCTCTATGTGACCCTCTCGCAACTCCACGCCGATATCTTGCGCCAGAGTGGGCGCGTTAACTAGATTCAAGCCATTCTTCGTCTGGCCGGTTAGCACGCCGACCAGAACGGCCGTGTGTATAAATTGTTTGTCCTGCATGCCGTTCCCCATGGTGTGGCTGTGAACGACTGTGTTTAGCTTGCCCTTGAGGAAGCGACCGGCCAATCGACCCAATTTCTTTGATAATTCGATCCAAGGTTCGTTCTCGCTCGTCATGGCGGCAGATAAGACCGGGGCGTTCACGATACCGGTGACGGCGTACTCTGTCGATTTGCCGGACAGAGCCAAGAATTGCTGGGCAATTTCTACCGCTACTCGTTGCTGAGCTTCCGCCGTGCTGGCACCTACAACCGAGTAAAGCGTTATTTTCGCGTTTCTATAGTCGAGGAGTTCAAAATTGAAAGATATATGGGAGAGAATTTAAGGTGTCTCAGTGTAATATTTAAACAACTTTTACAAGCTAACGAAAAATAAAGGAACATGAAATTGATGTCGAAATGATAATTTCAATTGGAAACGTAATTTGATAATATTATATTTGCGAATATAAGTTGAATAAAGTGTTATACATACCGAGATGAGGGGTCGGGACGACTTTCGGATGTTTAATGAGCTCTAAAGTGATCGGATTCTTCGGCGGCTCCTCCACGAAAACGTCCAAAGCTGCTCCGCCGCAGTGGCCGGATTTCAATGAATTCAAAAGAGCCTCCTCATCAACAATGCCGCCACGTGCGACATTAACGATGTATACTCCTTTCTTGCATTGTGCCAAGGTCGTAGCATTGATTAAATCTGCAAACACACACAATGATTAGGCGCGATATTCTTTTGTAGATACGATAAAATATGACTCCGATTATTCTTAATAATAACTTTTTAAAAATGATAGATCGATATAAAAGATTTGACGGTTTTTTTTTTCGATTAAATTTCCTTCGAAATAAAACTTCTGAATCTTTTAAGAAGGAAATTGAAGAACTTCTTTTCAGTTGGAAAAAGTGTGTCGAGGCTATCGTGTTTGTTTTACTAAAAAAAAAATTCGAAACTCCGTATAATTTTCGCTTCGGTAAATCTTTTCCATCAAATTAATAAACATCAGATCGAACGATTCGTACTTCTGGTTTGAGGTATGAGCGGCGTGTGAACGGTGATGTAGTCGGCGATGGGCCATATTTCTTCCAAGCTGAGCTTCCTAATACCAAGCTCGGCGGCGGTCTCTTCCTTCAAGATCGGGTCGAAGGCAACGATATTCATGCCGAAGCTCTGCATTCTGTGGGCCACCTCGCGGCCTATGCGGCCCATCCCGAGGATCGCGAGCGTCTTGCCGGACAGCTCGTATCCGGAGTACAGCTTCCGATCCCATCGGCCCTCTTTCAGCGATTGTGCGGCTTGCGCCACGTTGCGCGCGAGCGTGGAGATCAGGGCGCATGTTAGCTCGCAAGCGCTAATGCTGTTGCCGCCCGGGGTGCTGCAATTTAGAAGAGAACGATGAAATTACGCAATATAATGTAATTGTTATCTGCAGGCTCGATCACGAAATAATTGTGATATTTAAATCTATTTTAGTCGCTTATCTTTTGCGCTACTTCAGTCTAATATTGATTACAGATAAAGATATAATTCGCCATTCAATTAATTAAATAATGTCTGCAGAGATGCTAATTAAATAACAGGCTTAATGAGAGAAAATTTCTTTTACTGTTTGACAAGATTCCAGCAAATCTGTTATACGATAAATTATTGAAGAACCGTTCTGAAAGTCTTTCAAGCGAGAAAGAAGTAGCTTCGATTGAGAGGCAGTTTTAAACCGCTGCATCTCCTCTTAAATCAATTTTTATTTTATCGTTTTTTTTATCGAGCTAAAATTTGAATGAAAATTTCTGGCTTAAGATTGATATTTGAGAAGAACTCTTATGCCAAATTGGCTCGTAATAAGAAGAAATCGATTCTACTCTCTAATTTCTTTATGGATAAGAAAGAAATATGAGATCGCGTATACGTACTTTAATACGATTACTCCTTTACGTGTGGCAGCTTGAAGATCTATGTTGTCAACGCCGGTGCCAGCTCGTCCGACCGCGCGGAGATGTGGGCAAGCGGCAAAAACATCCGCCGTAACTTTGGTCTCGGATCGTACGATAAGGGCATCGTGATTCTGTTGGACAGAAAGAGAATATATATTTTTATCTTCTGTCCGAGAATAATTAAGAAATGCAAGTTAATAAAATTTTATTTAGTGTAAATTTCTCTCTCTCTTACTTTTTTGTATTTCTTAATAAATTTATACTTGAAAAGCAAGAAGCGATAAATTCGGGAATATCAATTTTGCAATTTTGTAATTTATTTAAGAATTATTTAATCTAAATTAAAATTTCCAGTCACAATCATTCAAAGATATGAATGATATAACTAAAATGATACTTTATCCTCACAGTGCGATAAAAAATCGTTTTGCATATTTTTTACAGAAAGTATTTATATAAATCTCTCTCTCTCTCTCTCTCTCTCTCTCTCTCTCTCTGTCTATATTAAATAGTGAGTTTCAGGTCGTCAAATTTATTCATGCTTTATGATATATCATGAAAGTAAAATTAGATCTTGTCACTAATGTTAACTTGTCCTGGATTTCCTTTCCGGATTTCTTAAAAAAAAAAAAGAAATTTATCTTCCTTTATTTGTATCAAGTGTGAAATAAGTGAAAAGAGATACATAGACGTGAGTTATATCTGTCACTGTATGATTAAGAAATATGATTCAGCTCATTACTTCTGGAGACTACTGTTTGTGAACTTGTATAAACTGGTTACTGAACTTGCGCAAAGTGGAGAGAAATGTATTGCATGCCTAATCAGTCCAGGCTTCAGTATAATTATCGGCGTAAAAATGTTAAGATAACGATAATGTGCGGTCGCATGGGCGCCTGTCGAAGTTATTTTCTTCGGCATATTTCTATTAAACGACCATTGCAATATACGAAAACAAATCGAAACGACATTATATAATATACGCGAAACACGTTTAAAAGGTACTTCATGCCTCGATTAATACTTGCGACACGAAGAGAGATTCTTTTCTTTTATTTAGCTTATATTTAGCAAAGGTGTTAAATAAAGAAACGACTTTTCTTTAATTCTCCTCTTTTGCGAGAAAAATTCGAACAAATACATGAAAATGGCAGGGAGAGTTTTAGCAATTGTAACGTAATTAAATATTCACAAAATATATAAAACAAAATCCTATTAAGTCTTTTCTTAATCGATTCGTTTTTCGTATTTTCATTTTCTCTCTTCGGTAGTTGTAAACGTTTGGAAAATTTTCCTTTCTTCTTTTCGTCAAATCTATTCGCTTTTTATTTTCAATTTTCTTTTCCACGTTGCATACACCTGCGAGAGACTCTAAAATCTCTAGTTTCTCCAGTTGGAATTATCAACGCGGACTGTGCGCAGGAGTTCTTAGCTTACAATTTCTTTTTATCTTTATCACTCAGCTTACATTACAACAAATGGATCGTGACACAGGTGCAGCAGCGGGATACTTTCTATTTTACGACACTTGGATTTTCTGTAAAATGAAACAAGAGGACGTGGTCCAGGTCAATGGGAGGTGCAGAGAAGAAATTGAGCGCAAGAAAGGGGACCTGATAGATCTGATTGAGAAATGCGAGTGGCGAAGGGATAGAACAAATCTCCTTGTACGGGCGCCCATGCATGTGTGCACACATGCGGAGCGAACCGGTGGTACAACGACCCGTCGCAGCTAACTGGTTTCCGCGCCGGCCGAGTCAACTGGATATAACCGGATCGCCGACTCGAACACGAGCAATTAAGAGAAGAAAAAAACAAAAAAAAATGGGGATGGAAAGAAACTGGCAAGAGCGACGGAGAGAGAAAGACAGAGAGAGGGCGAAGGAAAAGAGAGCAAGACGCGTCCCACATGTCCCATATGTTACTAATATATACATATACATATTACGCCTGTAAAAACGGTTGCATTAGGTCGAGAATGTCCTGCCTTAAGATGGATTGGAGCTAACGAGACACAGAGCGAAATTTGTCCGACCTAGGAGAATGGAAAATATTCTCTACGTGATTTATTCTCAGACTGTTCGGACAGATTAATCTGAAATTCAGATCTCGACGATCACAGGAAAATTTATATGTGTATGTACATACATTACGAAATTAGAAAATCATTTAAGACAATCTGAAATATGGACCGCGGGTGAGAATGAGACTGAGTTATTTCTCACAATTCACAGAAAAATATAATCTTTTTGTCTTAAATTAATAATAATTAAAAAATATATTCGTTACATTTTGTAAAGCATAAATTGTTTATATAAAATTGTGATTTTTTTATTAAAAATATAACATGACTGTATTATTATATCGATGTACGCAAATAATTATGGTTGGAACTTCAGAGAATTAAACTTACTTATTTTAAAACATAGATAAGTTTTATATGCTGATTGCGATAATAAATATAAAAAGGTATATTGTTGGATACACTTTCACAAATAAAATAATAGTAGTTGCCCAAATATTATAATTTAATTAGGTATTTTCTTATTTATGCATATGTTTAAAAGAGAGCGATTTCGTCAATTTTATTTAATATTTATTTGGCATAGAAAAGGTAAAATATTGTAAAATAATATTTGACAAAATAACTGTTTTAATTTGTTAAATAAAAACAGAACTCCAACCTTATATAAGTTTAATCGGGTTAGCGAGAGCTGGACATAACGCGTAAAAAAAAATGAAAAAAAAATTTACAGATAACATTTGATTGGCATAATCGGCTTAGCGCGTGAACGAAAAAGCAACAGCTCATCTATGATGGAAAACAAATTTTGACTTTTCGTCGCAATGCTTTTCCGCATTCGTTTCGCCGTAAAAAAATATATTAGGCATACCTATCATTTAATAATAATAAAAAAAGAAAAATGATCTAACTCGTATACACTGCGGTCTTGCTTGAAAAATATTCCTTATCGGAGATTTCTTAGAATTCTCTTAGATTTCTTTTAGAAATGACTGCGTATTTTTCTCGCACTGACTTCTCGACGGGGGGCACTCCGCATTATCATAACTGTGTTTATCTTCCGCACGAATTCCAGCGCAATCTAATATTATCGATGATTCGGTCTGCCCGCGACACGTGATATTTTTCACTCGACAGATCGCATGACAATAACAACCGTGATTTCAATTGCCAATAACACCTATCCCCTCGAGGAGAGATAAATCGCGTGATCTTTTGGCGATTAAATCGTCATTGTCTGTAATTTTATTTATAATAAATGTGGATACACGCTTTATGAGTCGATATCCGAGATAAAAAAATACAATGAATGCATATATAAGTGATTATACTTTATCGTGCTTGGATTTAACTGCTTAGACTTTTATTTCGTTCTGCGTTAAGATTTATTGCTTATTGCTTATTCCATCTTGAAATGAATAAACATTGAAAGCTTCACAACACAGGTATTATTCGAAACAATAAAGAGATACAAATACAGCAAGATTTTCTTTAAATCACGTAGATATCCTTTTGAATCGATCGTTACGGTTCGATAATCGTTAAAATAGAAATAATGGTCGTCATATCAGTTCACGGAATCAATGATTCAGCCAGGAATTCATAAAAGTTCAACCTCAAAATAAATCAGATCTAAAATTAGTTTTGTAAGTTCAGAAATGTCACTGCAAAAAGTAGTCTATAAAAAGACTGATATTTTCGATTGAGAACGTGTCATCTTCTGGCGATTAAAATTTAAAACAGTCTTTAAGAATTGGAGCGTTGTGGAATTTTTAGAGAACGGGAAGGAGAGAAAGGATCGAAATGGCCTTTTAAGTGAATTCCTTTCCAAGTTTCTGACTTTAAATTACGTTCTCTTTCCACCAGAGACGGCTCCTCGTCTGTTTTTACAACTAGTCGTCGACGTCGGATATCGAGTGGAATTTATAACTTCGTAAGATAAACTCCCATCACGATTTGCTTTGGCTCACTAAAGCACGGAAATTGCTCGTTACTTTACGTAGTTTTGCGGCATTAAAATCCACTCACCTGCAGCTCGATGATCAGCTCATCCTTTGGCAGCTTATATTTCGTCGTAACTGGAATACCGTGCTGGGCGAGCAGCGCTCCGCAAGATTCGTCCACGGGATCGCTTATAAGAACGCTCCTGAAGTTGACCGACATGTTATCCTTGAACAAACGGAGCCCTTGAACACCTCTTGTTTGTCTGAATAGAGAGGTATCGACGATCGCGCGCGTGATTCAGCAGTAATATTCCGATCGAACATTTCCGCTCGGCATAAACAAATCGCTCTATTATTTGTGCTATTTTTAACTAATTGCTGATAATTACTTAAAGACTCTATAAGTCGTATTTTAATCAAGGAAACTTACAGAGGTAACTTATAGTCAGCCGAAACGTTCATAAATTGGTGGCGAAAATGGCACTTGTAACAAGCGACAAGCATCGTGAATATATTTTTTGATTTTTCAGTTGAAAAATAATATTTGTATACTTTAATGTAAATAGAAATAATATTTTGACTAGACGTTGATGCAATAGAAAAACAGTAATATCTGCGGAAATTGTGGAGTATAATTAATCGCAATTAAAGGTTCCGGTTTTGTCACGTAATCGAGCTTAATAAAGTATTATTCTCGACGAAATAACACGAAACTGCCGATTTATTCGCTCAGAAATTAGCTAGCGTATTCATCATTGTGGTAGAAACAGGATGTCGCTAATAAAAGTTACATAAGTGAAGTAGGTAGATGCACACTTGTTTCTATTGTTAGTAAAAATCAGAAATTCTCTTTCTCACTAGTCAATTTATTCTAATCAAATTCATCGAGTGTTAAATATTAATCTAAACTGATATCATAAATTACAATATAATGTTCTTGGAGCGACACTTGTCAAACGTTACGAAGTCATTATATTCGCGAAATTCTAAAGGCCTGCCTTTCAGGGCTTCTCTCCGTACAATTATATTGTAAGATAAAGATCGCGTTCGGCGGTGATGATCGCAAAATACAAATTCGAAAGGCAATAAGGCTTTAAAAGAGCACCACTTCGAAAATTTTTTCCCAAAATTTCTATTACGTTACACGGTGCTTACAAATATAGTCGAGACGAGGTCTTCCGGAATCGCTTCGCGAATTTTTATTCGACGTTGCACTTTTACGCAACGCATACGACGGCGACGACGGAAAACACGAGGTCAGCAACAAGTGTCAGATTTTCCCGGAGCCCGGCTTTCCGGGCGCGGCATGATCGACGAGATTCGAATTTAAATACACGGGACCTACCTCTTCGGTGTCTCTTCTCTGGCACGTGGAAAAATTCGCAATACGCCGCGGCGGAGTGGGCTCTTCTCGGTGATGGACGCGGACAAGGGGGGAAGACTCGGTGGTCCCGTGGCTCGGTATCGGTTGCGTACGGTGGTCTAACCGTAAACTGACTCGTTGTACTGTCATTTATCTTCTTATAGCAAAGTCCCCACTCTCGGACGATCGAGCGAAGTGCCCATGAGTGAATTGTCGACGAGAGTCCGGCCCGTCCCTCTTCTCGGCCGTTCGTTCGCCGCGGCGAAACCGCGCTCGGTGTCACGCGAGCCTGCCCTCACCTTGCTTGGCTAGGCATTTTCAGAACGCGTTTCAAATAATTATTACGTCTATTTGCGTTTCTTTAACCTATCGACCCCCTTCCTCTCCCCGGCATTTAAAGCCGTAAACTTTCGTCAACAATGTTCAGTTTAGAGGATTTCGATACGAGTACTTTGAACGTCTAACGGATTATCGTGCGTCACCCTTATCGGTTGTTTTCGTTTCAGATATTTAGAAATAGGTGGAAATTGAAATAGAATGAGATCAATTAAAATTAAAAAGTAAAAATGAATAGAAACGACATAAATGGAAACTGAAATGAAAAAGTGATAACATTTTGCAATGATAATATAATTAGATGATGAAAACGTTATGACTACATATTCTGTGTAACGTATGTATTATGTACGTGTGTACTAAGTATAATAAAAGTATAATAAAAGGATAAAAAATATTTCTTATAAATAAAAGAAACAGTTTTGTTATTCTCTCATTTTATATCCTCATTATTTTATGTTATTACTTTCCGATTCAATATTGTATAACTATTAATTTAATTTGCTTGAATTCGATATATAATTTTATAATGATGTAAAATGTGATTAAGAAAAACATTGAGATTTCATTAGATAATCTTATTGAAGTTATCACTTTTATCAATTTTTAAGGTACTTAATCGACTAAACAGGTTTTAGATTGTGAAATTTAAAAATTATACTTCCCGCTATCAAAAACTTTACCGGTCATTGATAGTACTTGACAGTAACCTGATAACACTTATTTTGATCGCAAGAAATTATCTTTTCAATCGAACGTGAAAAATCGTGACATTATAGAATAAAAATTAAAATATTTTATTCATGTAAATTACATAAAGATAATCTTCACTATGAGACATTATAATTGTAGAATAAATAAATAAGATATAATTTTACTAAATTTATCCTAAAATCGTTATCCTAAAAATAGGTGTAATTTAAAAATTGTCCATGCGATAACATTTTCAAATCCGTAATTTTCAACAATATTACAAGTTTCTCAGTCACTTGTTTGTTTCTTTAATTCAGAGAAATATCAATTTTAAAGGAAAATGTTCTTATCTAATATATACGTATTCGATGATATTCTCTTCCTGTTAAAGTTAAAATTAGAAACTCTTTAGCCTGTAATATTAATATTATTCCATTCTTTCTTTTAAAATATAACTTTTTCATTTTTGCAACATTTGCATAATAAATGGGAAGAAGGAATATTTCTGTAACAGCAATTTGAGTCGTTATAGCAAAGCAGTGATTCTTGTTGTGTTATAAGTTCGTAGTCGCTGAATGATTGAGGTCAAAATGATTTTTTGAGATACTTTTCACTTCATAAATACTGACTTATTCACGTATCAAAAATAATCGTATGACAACTTTTAAAATATTAATGTAATATTCTTTCTTATTTTATTAAATATACACATATCGCGTTTAAACTTTTTAAATTTGAATGTAGCTCTTGTTAAAAATCTTATTTAAAAATAAAAAATTATTTATTTAAAAATATGTCTTTCACAAATCTCAACTGTTATAGACAAATTACATTCTACGTTTATCGTATACAAGGAGCTTCGGCACGTGATTGATGAAACTTGTAAATGGAGACATTATATGGAGGAACGAGCGTGTCATTAACGTAAGAAGAAAAAGAAAGAAAAAAATAAACGGCCTTTCGCACGACAGCTCATTATATCTCGATGCTGTCGACCTGCTCGAGTCGCGGAATAAGCCCGACGGGATGGTGCGCGCCGTCTCGTCGTTGTCGAAATTCATCCGCGAATTCGCGAAAAAAAAATGATAGCGTCACGTTCTTGCGACGCGATCTATAAAAAAAAGCGAGTGTTATCGCGTCGCGTATTCGTTAAAGAACTCGAGCAGCGCAAAATATATTTTCCATCGTGCAATACGACGGGGTCACGACGCGAGAGTGATGCAACTGTTACTGCTGCTGCTGCTGGGGGTCCGCGATTCAGCAATAAATAATCGTATTACAGCGTGATATCTCCATGACTTCTCGCTGGTGCAATCATCTCTCGTTCTTTCTTTCTCTCTGTCTCTCTCTCTCTCCTGTTTTCTTTTCTCTCTTCGCACTCTCGTCGTGTTCTCTCTCACGTCCGCGCTCTCTCGCAAACAACTCAATTCTCGCTGTGCCTCTCCGACGACTGATAAAGCGATTGCTGCACGATGAAAGTACAAATCACACGCCTTTAGCGAGTGCTTAGAACAAAGTACCAAATTTCAGACATTTATCGATCGTAATTCAAATAATTGAGAATTTAAAAGAGAAGATACGCGTTTAAATTTTAATTGAGAAAAAAGCTTTGCTAAATTTTACGCTATGAAAAAATATATTCGCGATAATTGTTAATTAGATTTTGCTTCGCTTTGAAATAGGTAAACCGATTACTTACAGGAACGAGCAAAAAAAAAATGCGCAATTTGAATTTTTTATTAGATTTCGTAATCTAATTCTAGTAATTGATATTTTCTAGTAATCGATGCCGTTTCTATATGTGATTCAAAAACACGTCTATGCATACTAAAAATATTTAATTGTTAAAGACATAAAATAAAAGAAATTATAGAACCTGGTTTTTTCAAAAATATAGATGTAAATAAGAAAAAAAGAAAATTAACAAAATATATAATTTAAAAAAAATCATATTTTATTAATTTTTCTTTTTTGTTTGCACAAAAACAATAAATTAATAAAATTATAATATTATATACATATATATTATTAATATTTAGTCAGGTCATCGCAAGTTTTAGTGTTAAATTTATCTCGACGTATTCATCCATCACATCAATTTGTCCGTCACAGAATGAAAAATGATCAATTTCAAAAATATTGCCAGGTATGCAATTTTATATCCTGTAAAATTGCTTTAAAATTATATTTCCAATATAATACCATACATATCATAAAATTCTATTTGCCATTGAAGAATGTAGACAATGATTATGCGGACAAAATAAGTTGAATTTTTTTTGTTTGTTATCTACTATATATAAAATTAAAAACGTAATAAATGTTCAAATTACTGTAATAATTTTGCACGGTAACTTTCCGGTGTTCGATTTCTCTCTTTCCGTATTCTGTTTGTTTCTCGAAATAGCGCGTAGACGATTTTACGGATTTCGCAAATACGTGCGTGCCATGCCCCGTAATATAAAAATCAATAAAACGGGGATTTTATCAAATCGCGTCTATATTGTTTTCGCGGATCGCGTGCCAAAATAACGCGTTGCTTTGTGCGTCACTCAACGGAGAGATATCGTCGGGCGTCATCGAGTGGCAAGAAATCATCTGACTCCGGTACCCCCAGCGGACCGCGTTATCTTATCAGCGTGGAAAATAACTCCGTCGTATAGCGACCCGTCTTCGCGGCATGACAACCGCGGTCGCGGAAACGTCACGCACTTTTCCACCCAGTTCCTATGGAGATACTACGAGTGCAAAAATTGCCCCAAAAAAAATATATATACATAGGTCGTTATCCGGCCCCCATTGTGCGCATGGGGAGGCGGTCGGGCCGTTTTAACCGGATCAAACGGCGATTAATCTAGTTCTGTTTAATAATTATGCCCTCAGAAGATCGACGGCTTGCTTGTCCAAGATGCCCTCCTCCCTCCCCCGGTTATTTTAACTACATTTGTTTTTCAAGCAGCTCGTGATAACTGATAATAAACGGCGGTATGCAAGCGGAAGACGCGTTCTGCAATATTAATATGATGCAGTGATCCTCAAGATTTCTTCATCTCTCTTTCTGCTTTCAAAAAGAGTCCAAAATTCCCAAGCGTTTAATTTACACATGCAGTTTTAGAAGAGAGGAAGAAATAAAATAAATAGAAATAGATAAAATAAATGGAAAAGCAGCTAGATATCAAAAGTATAATATTATAAATTATAATAATAAAAAAATATAAAATATATATTTTTTTCGCAAAAGAATCTGTAGAAAGAGTAAATATCTGGCAAAAGATATTTCGAAACATTTTATAAGGATCAGTTTTTCCGGTTTGCCGAGAGCATCATTCGGTCCACACCGTCGATATCGCGAAATGTTTTACGCTTCTTGTGACACGAGTCGATCGTATTTGCGGTCGTTCGCAATTCCCGAACGTTCCTCGTGGGATATCCTCTCGCGTTTCTGTTCAGAAATCCTGGATCCTAATCTCTCATAGCACGAGACTGATACAGTTATTGAGCGTTCAGCGTTACAAAACGCAGCTTCAAGCTTCATCCGAGAATCTCCCGTGGATGATTGATGTCCCTTTCATATTGGGAAACTATATATGCATTTACGTCATTAAACATGAAACCCGCAGTTTAATGCTATAAAATATAGAATATCTCTTGTACATACAAAAGAGCGAAACATCGATTATTTCAATATTGACCGTATCAACGTTAAAATAGTTTAACATTCGTATAGTATTAAAGCAAGAAGATAGAGTAAGTATTAAAGAAAGAGGTCACTGAAAGGCGAGTACCTTGCGAGATATTTATACTTTATTCCGATACGCGACGTTTGTGACGTGCAACACGAAACGTTTCGTGAATTATTTACTTTTCGATAACCCTGCCTTATGCAATACTTTAATATTTTTCGAACGACGGAGAAGAATCTCCCCCTCCTCTCTCTGTTAAAGTATAACGCTCATTATTCATAGTTAATTACGCTTAAATAACAATTTAATCGCTAACTTAAACTGCGATATCGCTCGCTTCGTGACATTTTTTGGAAGTTCAAATAAAAAAAGACAGGATATGCGAACGTGTGTATCGCGTGTGTTTGCGCGATGAATCAAATTCGCTCCGTGCGTATAGTCTAACTCCGCGGCGGAACTTGTCAGTATCGGCGTTCAGCTGCGACCGATCGACAAG